CTTTCCCTCATGGAAAAAGGGATAAATGAATTTTAAAAAAGAAATAAAAAGAAACTCTGAGTTTTCACGTGGCATCTGATTACATGGAGGTTGTTGGAGCAAGGCACGCATTTCTTCCTTTACTTCTCCCTTCTCTCACTACTCCCAGTTCAGAAATATTAAGTATGTTTTGGCTCAACTTGGATTTGTCAAACTAGTGGAAGAAACAGCATGGGACCAGGAGAACTTTTCCTATTTTAGCCCTTGTCAGTGTCAATATGTCCAAAATAAATGTATTCTTGAAATTAAATGCTATGAACTAACCTTTCAAAGCCCTGAAAGCTATAATCTTGGTTTTGTACCAAGAGAAAGAAGAATTTATGAGAGAGGAATTCTAGTCATTTTATACCCATAGTATTTAGTGGTCAAGTGAACTTGGGGGAAAAATATTCAGCATCATTAGTAATAAAAGAAGTATAAAATAAAATGTTGTCAGAGTATTTTACTGATAAAATTGACATTTTTTTTAAGCTGTAAAAGAGAAAAAGAAGAGATGTTCAACTGGGCATTCTATGCAGGCTGATAGAAGCATCGGTTGGTATAACCTGCCCTCGAAAGCAGTTTAACAATATTTATCAAGTACTGTCAAGACGTTAATGCCTTTGATGCAGTAATTCCACTTCTGGGAACTCAGCCTAAGGAAATAATTGGAAACGGGCATAAATGTGATTATAACGTCAGGAACTTGGAAAGTCTAAATGTCCAACAGTGGGGGGATTGATAAAATGGGCAATGCGCTTTTCTACCATTAAAAAGGGCAAACTATTTGAAAAAATGTTGATGGGGAAAAGTTTGTAAAATACTGTAAATTAAAAAAATAATCATGAACCTTATATTTTTAAATAAAATTTATTTATGTACATACTCTGTGAGTCCATGTGTACATTGAGGAGTAACACCTGAAATACATCAGAATAAGACAACATCTCTGGGTGATGGTGTTGGTAGTTTTTATTTCTTTCTTTGTACTTTTCTGTATTTTCCATTCTCTTATATTGTAACAAGAAAATTTGTAATTTAAAAATGCTCTTCTTGGGCTAGTTCTATAACTCAGTGGTTAAAAACTGCACTGTGGAGCCAAATCCCACATGGCTAACCAGGGTTTGAATCCCTGCTCCAATGGCTTGAAAAAGACACTGAATTTGTGTATGTCCCCCAAATTGTAACAGAATGAAGAAGGAGGAGGAAGAATGATTGCGGCCTGACGACTCCCTATTGTTGTGCTTCCTCTCTCTCTCTCTCTCTCTTTTTCTCTCCCTCTCATGATTGAACACTCCCTCTGGCCATTAAAAAAAAAGGTACCATTTTAGAATGGTCTAGAGGGAACTAGAACACAATGTTATCAATGGCTTTTGTAGGGTAGTGGGATTTGGTGGTGGTAGTGGTTATTGTTGTTTTTAATATGAGTATTGTTCTTTAATATGCTTTGGTTAAGAATATATCTGCTATTAGAAAGCAAGTATAAAATAAATGTAGAAAAATACTTGATAAATCCTTGCCATATTTGAATAGTGGTATTTTCTTGTGACTGTGATCCATGGTGAATATGATAAAAACTGTTAACTATGGTTGTAAATGATAGATGTTTTCTTTACACCTACAGATATTCCTGAAATTCCAGAAAGCATCTCATTCTGTAAAGCACTACAGATAGCCGACTTCAGCGGAAACCCACTGACTAGGTAAATTTTTGCAGACTTTTCTATCTACAGTACTAAAGATATCTTTTACAAATCTTATTGGTGGAGAGGACATGTGTGCCCACAAGAGAGGGAGAGAGGAGAGAAAAGGAAGTGAGAGACAGAGAAGCTCCCTCCACAAGGTCTGCTTATGCCATGATCCCCCTCTCTCAGCCCTCCAGCTTGACAGGATCTTATACAAGCATATGTGTACCTAGCATGTTTCAGGCCAGCTGGGCAGGGAATCCTAACCCATGGTCAGCCATGTGGCTTCCAGCACTGTAATTCATTATGTTACGCACTGTGCCACAGAAGCTGGGCCTGGATATCTTTTTAAAGAGCCATACAAAAAACACAAACTAAGTTACCCATCTTGGAAGTACCAAAATGAATCACTGTCTTTGAGATTGTTGACTTTCACAGATACTTATTTACAAAGAGCTGTGTGCAGTAAAAGGCATACTATGCTATAGATAGAGATGTAGCCATGATGTGGGGGAGAGGAGAGGAGACGCAGTGAATGTCTGAAACATGAGCGAGGAATGGAAGGAGTCCACTTCTGAAGCAATGGGAGGAATCGTAGTAGTTTATAGGTTCCATCATGATCTGTCCTGTCTTGTGAGATAAGGCTGATTTCTAAACCTCCAAGGAGCTCACACTGTAGTTAGCCAAGGAAAAGTTGGATTAGAGTCACTTTTTCTACTTCAGTAACAAAACATGATTACTATACCCTCAAATTGTGATTTCTTTAGTAATGGCTGAAGGGATTTTTTTTGGGGGGGTACTCTGTTCCTTTAAATAAAGACACTTGTCTCTGGTTTTACTACTTATTCTAGTTTTGACCTTCCCAGAATGACACAACATGCCTCCTGGGCAGGGCTAACTAGTGTCGCCATGAGCCTCTCCTCATGGCTTCTTAGTCAGGAGTCCCCTGACCACTGTGCAGTCATCTGTGTGGTCAGAATAACTGAATTGATGCCCACATGGCAATGCAGAGACAGCCCTTGGGAGTCTGCTTTAGAGGTCTCTGTGGGCCAATGGGTCCATTCCTAAGATTTCTCAAGATTTGTAAGAAATCATGGAATAAAAGTACCCTTTCACTTTTTGGCAGGGTTGGGGTAGAAATCTAGGAAAATTGGGATTAAACTAAATTTTGGGATTTATCTTACCCATTTCAGAATTTCTTGGGATATCTTGGGTATGCAGTGTCTGAGAGTGCTCTAATTACTTTGGTTTTTCCCATACCAACCTATATTCAAGAAGTAAATATGTTTTTTAAAATGTTTCTGGTTTTCTTCTTTTGAATTTTGGTGATTAGGTTACTTGTAATATTTATTACTGAAAAATAGTGATCTAGTAAACTATACCATAGCAGCTTTCTAACTCATCACCATCTTCAAGTCTTATCTTCTTTTCTAACCGTCTTCCATGCAATTCTTTTTCCTCTTAAAACCTTTCTGTAGCTTTCTGATCCTTCAGGTCAAGTCAGAGCTCCTTGATGTGCAGTCCAGACCTCCACACCCACCGCCTGTTTGACCTTGGCCTCTCTCTCCATCTCGTTGCCCTCAGCTGCCGGTGTCAGACATTCTGCTGTATAGAGAATTGATAGTTCATCTCATACCTCCCTCTTACTGAGTATACCAAGCTTCCACCCTCCTCTGAGAAGCAGCTCAAACATCACACACCTTCAGGAAGCGTGTCCTGATTACTCTTCACGAGTCCCTCCTCTGGCTTCTGTAACACTCTGTATACTTTTTATTTCATAAAACTTCACATCTTCACTTATGTAACCCCCTTGACCAAGACTCCCCAACTGGACTGATGATATTGCCTGTATTCCTCTATTACTTATTATTGTATCTCTAACCCTATTTCAGTGGAGTAAGGGTATAATAAATAGTTGTAAAACTAAGCTTAGGGTCGCTTAGAGGGTTAGTCAAGCAGGGAAATATTTATTATGTTGTTGAGGATTTTTTTTACTACTCAGTTGCTTAATCACCTTTTCTATTTAATTGTTTTCCTTTTCAGATGTCTACTGGCATTTGGCTTTACCATTATCTCACGACTCTCTCAGCTAGAACATACCCAGATTGTATGAGTTTTTATTTACTTGCTTTTTAATTTTTTATCTTGCCTGCATATTTGACAGATTTTTAAATGTAAAGTCTTTTCTAATTTAGCAGGTATGGTGTTTTTAAGACCTTAGACAGTATCTGAGTTGAGACCTTGAAAGTATCTAGCTTGGGGGGCAATAGGTGGCATGGTAGTTAAGGGAGCTGGACTCCCACATGGCCAACCATGGTTCAAGTTCTGGACCTGGTGGCTTGCTTTCTCACTCCCCTCTACCTCCAATCAAACTGGAAAATAATAATCATAATCATAAATAAAGTTAAATAAATAATTCTTTTAAAAAGTTATCTAGCTTGGCATATTTCAGTTATTATAAGCATTTCAGTTAATAAACTGATATATGGGACTGGATTTGGGTTTGAAGATCATCAATGCATTTTTGCATCGTAACTGAGGCTTCAATAGGTTAAGTGACCTTTCAGGGTCATGCAGCAGACCTGTGAGAAACTGGAACTGTTGTCATCGGAAAAGTCATGACACATTTTTACATAGAAAAAAACATGAAAAAATATGTCACGACTTTCTGACAACACAGTACAAGTCATGTCTCTGGTCCTTGAGTCTGCGTTTCCTTGTCTCATCATACTATTTTGCCTTTTAAAGTTAACAGCAAGTAAAAAAGCAGATCAGCCATTTAAAAATAAATTTTCCTTATGTTTAAGAACATTTCAGCTAGTTTTACAATTGTAAAGTTACATATACTTTCTCACAAAAACTCAGACAGAACAGGTAAGTTGCATCTTTTGAATTATAAGTAAAAATCTTAACCTCCTTTACCCTAGTAACTGTTCCTAAGAGCATATTTCAGTGATTATAAACATTTCAGTTAATTAACTGGTCTGTGGGACTGAATTTGGATTTGAAGATTGGGTCATTGGCAAAGTCATGATGCATTTTTGTGTAGAAAAAAGGAAAAATATGTCATGATTTTCCCAGTGACCCAATATATTAAATGTCAAATTGTAACATAGGATTTTTAAAATTTTTAGATTTTTGTCATAGGGTATGTGTGCTCACTGTAAAGAGACAGAGACATGGGTGAGGGAAAGTGAAAAATAACCCCCTGGGACATGGCCACACAAAAATTCCTTTTTGGGATTTTTGGGCACGCTTGGTTATTTTGTCATAGGGTATGTGTGCTCACTGTAAAGAGACAGAGACATGGGTGAGGGAAAGTGAAAAATAACCCCCTGGGACATGGCCACATGTCCTTTTTGGGATTTTTGGGCATGCTTGGTTATTCACCTGGTATTTTTCAAGCTATTGAGTCTGGAACATGAGCCACAGAACAGCCATGTGGGATCCAGTGCCTTAATCATACTACCTGCTGGCCCATAGGATTTTTTTTTTTTTTTAAGAGAAAGAAGCCAGGGCCATCAGGTGGCATGGTGGTTAAGGCTCTGAACTCCCACACGGCTGACTGTGGTTGAGTCTCAAACCCAGTATCTTGTAAATCATGCTTAGGTGCCCCAATTCCTGAAAGGAGAATGGACGAGAAGGGATTGCGGCATGGCCATCTCCTCTGTGGAGTGATTTTTCACTCTCTTTGTCTCTCTTTCTCCAGCAAGTGTACACACCTATGGCAAAAACCTGAAAAAGAAAAAGAAGCCTACAGAAAGAAAAAAATAATGGCTGAGTTGCAGTGGCTCACAGATAATGTCGCCACTTGAGAGGCTGGAAGCCTCCTGGGAGGCCCAGGTTTGGCTCCTGGGCCAACCTAACATGCTAGAGATGGTTATGTGGGCCTGTAATCCTAGCTAATTGGGAGGAGGGTCGTCACGTGGAAAGACCCTGTCAAAAATATTTCTTTGTCTATTAGTCTCTCTTTCTCCTTCTCTCACAGAAGATTAAGAAAAAAAAAAATGAAGGAGAGAAAGAAATGAAAGCTTCTGCTCTAGAAAGTATCACTCAAGCCAGAGTCTCTCCCCCACTGAAAAACATGAGTTATATATTCTTGTGTCAATATTAGTGGATTTATGTGGCTATATTACATCTCATTTTAGATGCAATGAAATCTTTTTTGCCTTTAGTTAGGTTTTTTTTTCCTCCCTAAATACTGGTAACCATAGAAATATTGGAAGTAAACTGTTTTTGTAAATTTTAAATAATGATTTTAAGCCTTGATCTTCTGTAGAGTTTAAGGGACATATAAAAATGTTCTTTTTGTGTAGAACATAGTGACACATAATTATCTCAAATGATTGACATCCTAAATTGAATTAAAAGAGAAAGTAGAAATTGACTGTCAGTTAATCAATTCTAAGTAATCCATAGCTTTGCTTTGATTATTACAAACTGCAGGAAGAGAAGTTTTTGAGCAACTCTCCCAAGTTTTATTATAAGCTTGTAGGCGGAGAAAGTTTCTTTTTTTTGGTTAATCAATAGAGAATTTACACTGTGAGATACTTTTAGCTGCAGCAACTTACCATTTTCTTTTATAGAGCACTCAGTAGTCTTACATTTTTTAACATCTATTCTTTTTTTAATGATTAATTTCATTTATTATTTAATTTGCTATAGGTGCATGTGCTCACCAGAGGGGGGGGGTGGGTAAGACAGCAAGCTGCCAGGTCCAAGACTTGAACTGTGGTCAGGCATGTAGGAGTATTGTGGTCAGCACTTTAACTGCCCTTCCACCTGCTGGCCCCATCACCTCTTCTTCTTTCTTCCTTTTTTTTTTTTTCTAGAGAGAGAGAGAGAGAGAGAGAGAGAGAGAGAGAGAGAGACAGAGCTTTGCCATACAGCACATGTACTCCACGGAGACAAAGAGACAGAAAGCAAGAAATCACTCCCCAGGGGGGATGGCCATACCGTAATCCTTTCGCCCCCGTTCTCCTCTTGAGATTTTGGGCATGCATGCACATGTGCCCCACCTGAATTTTAAGCCTCTGGGTCTGGGACTTGAACCACAGTCGACTATGTGAGAGTCCATCGACATAACCATTATACCATGTGCTGATCCTTTACTTCTATTTATACATCCTGTGTAAAGTTTAATTTTTAGGAGGTTATTTCAGTTAGCATGTAGAGGAAATCATTATATTTATACTTAGTATACACTACACATACTTTTCTTTTTAAATTAACAACATTTTTTTTATATTTTAGGTTGCCAGAAAGTTTTCCTGAATTACAGAATTTAACGTGTCTTTCTGTAAATGACATCTCACTGCAATCTTTGCCTGAAAATATTGGCAAGTAAGTTTTTATATGACAATTGTGTATATCGGGGTGAATGGGCATTTTTATCATCAGCTCTAACCTCCTTTTCTCTTAAAGCTCTTACTGTTTCACTCAGAAAACCATTTACTCATTATTCAATATTCCCTTCAAGAGAAATTCTAGCCAGCCTTCCATGGTTTTTGTATCCAGTTTTCACTAAATTTTGATGGTTAAAAAAGATGCTGGCACTTTCTACTAAAATAAATAAAAACTAAATAACTTTGGAACTAGCAGTTGGCTTAATGGCTGTGTCTCTGGATTCCCATGTAGTCAACTGTGGTTTGAATCCTGGACCCGGTGGTTTAAACTCACGCCAGGTGCATGCGCATGCATGCCCAAGATCCCAAGAGGAGAATGGAGGAGAAGGGATGTGGCATGGCCCTCTCCCAGGGGGTGTGATTTCTTGCTTTCTATCTTTTTGTCTCTCTGGTGAGCACACGTGCCCTACAGCAAAAACCTCTATTAAAAAACAAAAAAAAAACAAAAAAAACAAAACTAAATAATTTTGTAAGTTCTCTTTCAACTGATGGATTCTAAGGTAGCTAATTTAAACTAGTGTATATAACATAAGTGGTCAGGAAAGCCAACAAACTCCACTGAAAATTGAAAGTATGTTCCCCTAAATAACAACTATGCCTGACAGTATTTGTGAGCTGTAGAACTGAGAATAGGGAGTGAGAATGGTCTATTTGGAGAGCAGGAGTGGAATTGGGAGAGGGATGGGCACATGTCTGTGTTGTAGCCTACCAGTTGTGGAAAATTGAGGCGTGGCAAGAAATAGAATCCTTTGAAGAAAATGTATGCTGGCAAATAAATGTTCTGTTATTAATTGAATTATCTTAGCAGACTGTTAATTGAATTTTCTAATTAATTGAATTATCTCAAGAGACATTTTCACTTCTCCAGGACATAAAGTGGTTTAACTCAAGCTGATGCAGAGGCTCATGTGTAACCACTTAAAATGAAAACCTGACGTGGCTGGCATAACGTGGTGGACTAGTGTTCTAGTGAGGGTCTAGTCCAGAGCCCACAGGTTCCAATGATGTCCTGCTAAGGCATTTTGGAGAGACACTATTGTTAGCTTTCTAATTTGTTGTATATTGGGGGTGCAAGTAATATTTCCTTTTAAAAAGTCTGCTGTAGGGACCAGCAAGTGGCGTGGTGGTCAAAGCACTGGATTCCCAGACCAGGCCACTTGAAAATCACTCTGTGTGTGTGTGTGTGTGTGTGTGTGTGTGTGTGCCATACGTACCCAAAATTCCAAGAGGAGAATGGATTGCAGCATGGCCATCTACCTGGGGGGTGATTTCTCACTTTCCCTTTCTCTGTCTCTGACGATTGCACACACCTTATGGCAAAAACCTACCAAAAGAAAAAATTGCTGCAAATAGTTTTTCAAATGAAGTTTGCAAACCAGTTTCAGATCCATGGTAATACTTGCTTTTTGTTGGGGCAGCACCATGGGGATTTTACTGTGACATAGAACCCACCAAGCTCCATTCTAACCAAGCAGAAAGCTTCAAGCCTTCCATGAAAGTCAGCTTGAAGTTTTTTTTACCTGTCTTTTGTCTTTCCAAATTGGCTGAGGTTTCTCTCCTTTCATGATTGAAATTCCACCTCTTTCCTCACATTTCTCCCAATGATTGCAAGAGGTAAACTAGAATCCAAACTTGCAAATTCCCTGACCTGATTAAATTCCTGCATGAGAAGCACCATGGCTGTTTGTCTTTACACACAAGTGCAGCTGTTTAGTGTCCAGTTGTGTGCGTATACCGGGGTCACCCTGTACTCTGATAGAGTAAGGGTCTTGGTTGTTCAACTCTGTGTCTACACCTCTGTGACATTGTGCTCACATACTCAACACACACATGACACGCCCCACAGCATTGTCTTCTCTGTTCCACTTGTTCCCACACGATAGCACAGGTAATGATGTGAGAGTTGTGGGAACTTCGTGGTGAGACCACGTTAGTCTGCTCCTGCATAGTCACTGTTTTTTGCCTAATGTTGTATATTCAGTTGAAAGAAACAATTAAAAAATACAGCTTCCATTGCTCTAAAACCTTCTAATTAAGAACAATGATTTTCTATGAACATTACCTAGTTTCTCTGATATGAGTCATTAGGGAGGGGAGAGTTTAGTTTGCTATAGAGCACGTGTGCTCACTGGAGTGAGGCACAGGGAGAAGGAAAGTGAGAAATCACCCACCTCTCCCCAACCCCTGGGAAAATGGCCACACTGCAATCTCTTCTCTTCCATTCTTCTCTAAGGATTTTAGGCATATTCACATATACACCCGGTGTCATCCTCAAGCCTCCAGGTCCAGACTCACACTCCAAAGTTTGCCATGTAGGATCCAGCCTCCTTAACCTCCACACCACCTGCTGGACCAAGAGAGTTATTTTTAGAGGAAAAAAAAAATACCTTACCAAAATAACTGGTAAGCTTCTTCCTTTTTAATAACAGTTCTGACATTTATCACATTTACTTTCTGCCTTGGCTGCCAGAAGCTTGGTGCTAATGCAGATGATCAGCGAGAGCAGCTGCATTCACTTCTGTGTGACGGAGGGAAGGAGGGGAAGAGGGAGGTGTGTGGCTGACAGCTGTGGTGTGCTGGGTGCTCTGTAGGCTGTGTGTGTGTGTGTGTGTGTGTGTGTGTGTGCCATACGTACCCAAAATTCCAAGAGGAGAATGGATTGCAGCATGGCCATCTACCTGGGGGGTGATTTCTCACTTTCCCTTTCTCTGTCTCTGACGATTGCACACACCTTATGGCAAAAACCTACCAAAAGAAAAAATTGCTGCAAATAGTTTTTCAAATGAAGTTTGCAAACCAGTTTCAGATCCATGGTAATACTTGCTTTTTGTTGGGGCAGCACCATGGGGATTTTACTGTGACATAGAACCCACCAAGCTCCATTCTAACCAAGCAGAAAGCTTCAAGCCTTCCATGAAAGTCAGCTTGAAGTTTTTTTTACCTGTCTTTTGTCTTTCCAAATTGGCTGAGGTTTCTCTCCTTTCATGATTGAAATTCCACCTCTTTCCTCACATTTCTCCCAATGATTGCAAGAGGTAAACTAGAATCCAAACTTGCAAATTCCCTGACCTGATTAAATTCCTGCATGAGAAGCACCATGGCTGTTTGTCTTTACACACAAGTGCAGCTGTTTAGTGTCCAGTTGTGTGCGTATACCGGGGTCACCCTGTACTCTGATAGAGTAAGGGTCTTGGTTGTTCAACTCTGTGTCTACACCTCTGTGACATTGTGCTCACATACTCAACACACACATGACACGCCCCACAGCATTGTCTTCTCTGTTCCACTTGTTCCCACACGATAGCACAGGTAATGATGTGAGAGTTGTGGGAACTTCGTGGTGAGACCACGTTAGTCTGCTCCTGCATAGTCACTGTTTTTTGCCTAATGTTGTATATTCAGTTGAAAGAAACAATTAAAAAATACAGCTTCCATTGCTCTAAAACCTTCTAATTAAGAACAATGATTTTCTATGAACATTACCTAGTTTCTCTGATATGAGTCATTAGGGAGGGGAGAGTTTAGTTTGCTATAGAGCACGTGTGCTCACTGGAGTGAGGCACAGGGAGAAGGAAAGTGAGAAATCACCCACCTCTCCCCAACCCCTGGGAAAATGGCCACACTGCAATCTCTTCTCTTCCATTCTTCTCTAAGGATTTTAGGCATATTCACATATACACCCGGTGTCATCCTCAAGCCTCCAGGTCCAGACTCACACTCCAAAGTTTGCCATGTAGGATCCAGCCTCCTTAACCTCCACACCACCTGCTGGACCAAGAGAGTTATTTTTAGAGGAAAAAAAAAATACCTTACCAAAATAACTGGTAAGCTTCTTCCTTTTTAATAACAGTTCTGACATTTATCACATTTACTTTCTGCCTTGGCTGCCAGAAGCTTGGTGCTAATGCAGATGATCAGCGAGAGCAGCTGCATTCACTTCTGTGTGACGGAGGGAAGGAGGGGAAGAGGGAGGTGTGTGGCTGACAGCTGTGGTGTGCTGGGTGCTCTGTAGGCGCAGGCGCTGCCTCGTTACAGCTCCCTGCTCGAGGCCAGCGTTAACTGCTAGCTTCCTCGGTACAGTGAGGATAAGTAGTCTGCCCAGGTGTGTGGCCTGTGGGCTGTAAAGCTGATGTTTGACCTTACTCTCATAAGAGGAAGGGGGGGGAGAAAGTGAGAAGTCATTCCCCTCCGGCTGGGGGATGGTCACACTGCAATCCCTTCTCCTCCAGTCTCCTCTCGGGATTTTGGGCACACATGTACTTGTCCCTGGCATGATTCTCAAACCGCCAGGTCTGGGACTCAAAACATGCAGTCAGCCATGTGGGAATCCAGCGTCTTAACCTCTACACCACCTGTGGGCCCAGTGCTATTTTTTTTTTTCATTGCATGCCTTTCACAATAAGCACATTAGTTTCGTCTTCTCTTTCATAGTCCTAACTTTATGAACCTTTTTGCATATTTGAAATTTTTAAAGACCTTTTTTATCCCTTTTAGAAAAAGTTGAGGTGAAATGAAATAAATGACTTTGTTTATTTAAGTTTATTGGTTTCTTCCTTCCATGAGCAAGAGAGAGAGAGACCAGGACAGACAGCCATCCCAACACACTGCAATCCCCCCTCGGCCTCAGCCAGCCCTGGATCATGGGTGCTCATGAATCCAGTGCAGTCCGAGATGTCTTGGGCTTGAACCTAGAGCCTTTCCAATGAGCCAGCCTCAGAGCACCGTGTTTGCTGCTGTGCCACTGTCTGACTCCTTAAGTGAATGGCTTTATATATAACCGAAGATGCCAGGTAGCATGGCAGGGCCCAATGGAGCAGGATGGCATGCAGTGGGAGGTCTTGAATGGCGTTAAGAAAAGTGTCTGGGGAAAAAAAAACACATTTTAGATATGCTCTTGAAAGCAGCATTTAATGAACAATGGCTTTTTGCTCTCTAAAA